TATCATTCCCTTCTCCTTCATTTATTTATTTATTTGTAGTATACGGACTCACTGACTCCTGTTTAGTCACAGGGCGGTAATCCATTATTCTCATTGTTTCAATGCTCAAATTGTCAGTTTAGCCAGTGGGAGCCCCGTCAGGTTGCCTCCTCTGTCTTTTCAACATGCCCCATCATTCACTGAGCACTTCCTTGCTTCCCGGCACAAAGAAAGTATTCCTGGCTCATTTCATACTTTCTCTGACCCGGCCCTGGAATCAGCCTTTTCTCCAAGGATCTTGAGTTCCTGGTAGCGGAGGACAGGCAATAAGAAAACAAGATCTGGGCGCTCGGCGTGCTTAAAGCTACTGGGTGGGTATCATTACTTCTAGGCCCTTTCAGCAAAAAAAAAGAAAAAAGGAAAAAAAGCTGAAATCACATAATTGTAATGTTGGAGCTTTGATTGCAGGGCAGTAACTAACAAGATCTCATCACTGAGAAAAATAAAAGTAAACCACTCTCTTTCTCCCCTCTTCCTACCCGCCCCCCAGGTATGTGTAATCCTCGAAATTACAGTGACACGCCTCCCACTTCAAAGAGCACAGTGGAGGAGCTGCACGAGCCCATCCCTTCTCTCTTCAGGGCACTCACAGAAGGAGATACTCAGCTGAATTGGAACATTGTTTCCTTCCCTGTTGCAGAAGAACTTTCACATCATGAGAATCTGGTTTCATTTTTAGAAACTGTGAACCAGCCACACCACCAAAATGTGTCTGTTCCCAGCAATAATGTTCATGCACCTTATTCCAGTGACAAAGGTAACTGCCAACAGTTGACTTTCTCTGTTCTACCCCCTCATGTGGTCTGTCCATGTGGTCTATGAACCTGTGTTAAGACTATCTTTTACAGCAGTTTTTTGGTTTTAAATTTGTAGAGTCTTATATCAATCGTAGACTTCAGTAAGTCCAATCCCTGAGTAGATAAAGTGGCATGTTAGCATATTATTAAAAGTCCTTCATACTCCTGGTGATAGAGGTTATACTGTATTGGAAAATAGATAATTGTTCCTAATTCTAGTATTTATTTGCTTTAGGCTTTAATTATTTTTTTCATAAGATAGCAACATTGCTACCTCCTTAATACACTGTTGCTAACTGTCAAGTAACACTCAGAGTGCCCATGAAGTCATATTTTTATCCTAGCATTGGTACAGAAATGATGCCATGGTCATCAGCTAAATTTCTTTATTAGCAAGTTAGTATTACAGACATCTCATTTCCAGGTATAAGTTAACCCCTAGCCAGTTCTCTGCAAATGAGTGGTGGTAGTCAGGAGAATTAAATGAGAGAATGACTTATTCCAATTTGAGAAGCATATTAAAGAACATTTATTAGCAAAGATAGGGCATATCATAATTTTGGAATGTAAAGGGCATGTAACTTTTATAAAATCTTTGATATTTTTCAATTAAGAGGCACCACAAGGCCGGGCACGGTGGCTCACGCCTGTAATCCTAGCTCTCTGGGAGGCCGAGGCGGGTGGATCGTTTGAGCTCAGGTGTTC